TAAGCCTGTGGAAAGTTACTTCTTCAAAAGCAAAAGTATCCCATATCATATCTTCTCATTTTTCTTCTCTTTATCCTTCATGCTGCCTGCAAGATAGGGAGAATGTGAACAATCAGCCGGAGCTCTGATTGCTTACCTTGTCTGTCACCTCTTTCAGCAGATCCCCTAGCTCGGCGACTTGGGGGGCTCCTACTACATGGTTTGTATCACGCTTGACCAAGTTTAAAACTAAAAGTAAGCTTCAAGTGAAATTGATACATTACCTTGTGCATCTCCACCAGTTAAAGATACCACCCCTGGATGGAGGAAGAGTACTTCCAGAGAAGATGCCACATCTACCTATGAGACAGATAAGGCAAGTCAAGACGATACCACACTCCGATACTTAGAAGTTTCGTGATTACGAGATCATTCTCCCACAATATTTCCTAATGTCATTTGTACTAAATCATTCACCTGTACTCACTAAAGGAGAGCTTGAATCTATGTACTTGTGTAAACCCTTCACAATTAATGAGAACTCCTCTATTTCGTGGATGTAGCCAATCTGGGTGAACCACGTACATCTTGTGTTTGCTTTCCTATCTCTATCTATTTATATACTTATCCACACTAATGACCAGAGCAATCTAGTGAAGATCACGAAAAGCGACCGTTTTCGCTACCTAGGATCTATCGTGCAAGAGAACAGAGAATTAGATGGAGATCTCAACCATAGAATACAAGCTGGATGGATGAAGTGTAAGAGTGCATCCGGCGTGTTGTGTGACCGTCGTAGGCCACTGAAGCTCAAGGGAAAATTTTATAGGACGGCAATAAGGCTATGTGACTACGAGACAGAGGTTTAGGGCCGAAGGGGTAGAGGAAGACCTAGGAAAACTTTGGAAGAGACTCTAAGAAAAGACTTAGAGTACTTGGATCTAACGGAGGACAGGACACAAAACCGAGCGCAATGGCGTTCTAGGATTCATATAGCCGACCCCACTTAGTGGGAAAAGGCTTTGTTGTTGTTGTTGTTGTAAGGTTTCATAGCAGGTTTACGAAGCATAGAAGGGAAACTGCAGTAAACAGAAAACAAAACAGACTTGAGAGGAATTAGTTTTGACTGCAGATCAGTTTCAGCGTGAGGGAATGAGAAGGAATAGTAGTTGGATTGCTCTTACCTTTGTTTCACACTCCTCAGAGTTTTCTTTCAGTCTGAATGAATGTAGCATTTTCATTTTAGCTTTTGATAAGTTCATAACAATGGTAAGTCATCCATCAGCAATATCCAACTTCATCTCAGCCTGAACACGGAGATCCTACACAAGATCCATGAGACTAGGAATGCATTTTGCTTACCTAAAATGAACATAATAAGAAAGTTCAGATACGTACCCATTCCAGAATGCAGGACAATGCATATATGAGCTGCATTTATCACTTTGTTACATACATGCACTAATTGAACCAATAGAATGCAAACTGGAACTGATAGACATAGCATTATCAGCGACAATAATCCTTTCCTAACAATCAGTCAAACATGCACAATATGCAGGTCGCTAGTCAGTAATTCCAAAAGATCTGATTCCCCCGGTATGTTTTTTTCAAATATACTGAAATTAACTTCCTATAAGTCCATTCCCTTTGCCTCTGGAACTCCAAAAATGCCTCTGAGCTTGCATGAAAGTCTCCTTTTCCCAAAACTTCAAACACAAATGGATCCGTTAATACCAATGGGGAATCATCCAGATTCATTTTATTGAGGGAAAAATACAAATTCCGTCCTAGTCTTCTATCCAAGTATGCAACAACAACACAGCCGCAATGTTGAATGGTAATCTTGCTTCTAGAAAAGTGGCCGGTGCATGCATTGAAAATGCTAGACAATTGTAGCATGAGAATGGCATGTGTTCATTGTGTCCATAAGCAAAGTCCATGGTGGTGGGCTACTTTAGTAGAGTCATGAATAATGGCTAGGATGATTTCACACTTGGTATTCACACTTGGTATGGTTGGTTATACTTGCCTATAAATAGAGTATGTTGTTATGTTTAAGTATTGAAGTAAGAAAAGAGAAAGAAGAAGAAGTAAGAGAGACAAGAAGGCTCTCTCCCTAAAAAAAGGGAATTAGTAGAAGAAGCATCCATAGCTTCTAAGAGTGTTTGAGTGATTCCTCTTGTATTAGTTTGTGAGAATAAAAGTTTTTTTGGTGTTATACCTTGAGTGTTCTTTTTCTCTTGCCTATCAATTTCCGCTGCGTTACATTCTTCTTTGGAGATAAACATCTCCAAAGTAGTGAAGTCTCTTTAAACCCCAACACGCAAGTCACAAGATCAGGAACAACTTTCTCATGTGTCATGTGTTCAAGGCTAAGATGGAGAGCCCACAGTAGAGACATCTTTGAAAAGGCCAGAGCACGGATATTAAATGTAGTAAGATCGGGGCGGAAACCAGCTTCCACCATTCTCAAAAATTCTCTTTGTAAGCTTTTCATCTTAAAATTCGCAGCATATGATAACAACAAAAGGTTCCACAGAAGATTTCCCAAGTTTCTTCTACCTAGACCTTGTTGGTATTGAAAAGTTTACTAACTCAATACCAAAATATGTGGGTGATAAGTTTACAAACTCTATCACACCTCTCACTTTGCACTCTCAATAAAATTGGACAAAGAAATAGAGAAATGAGGGAAGCTACAAGCTTTGGCAAACAATGCACTTTGATGTATTTAAAAGAGTTTACAAACACACTTCTGAAAATGGAATAACAAATCAGATTCATGTTTCTAAAACCTTACGGGCTGCTTATTTATACAAGCAGAAAATGAAGACCACTCAAGTGCTTTTAATAAACTAAACCAACAACACACACAAACAGCTCATATGAACTTTGGACAGTCTAACACACATATGCAGCTATCTTTCCAGCTTGCAATCAACATAGTTTCGGCTAGCACACCACATGGCAGCACACAGCTGCTGTCTTTCAACACACTTTCAGCTGGCACATGGAGAAAACTTTAGTCTTTGCAGTTGCAGCAAGTGTGAATACAACCTGTAAAGAAACTAACAGCTAGGAGCTGCCATTTACAACCTGTTTTGATTTGAATTTCCAACACACCTCCTCAAATCAAAACGCCTTCATTCCTAGCATTTCACGTAGCAGCCGGAATGATTCAACTGGTAGTGGCTTAAAGAAGATGTCTGCCACTTGTTCCTTCGTGTGACAATAGACAAGTTCGATTGTCTTTTGCTTTACATGGTCCCTTAGAAAATGGAACCTGGTATCAATGTGCTTGCTCCTTCCATGTTGAACAGGATTCTTTGCAAGCTTGATTGCAGACATGTTATCCACATGAATCACAGTCGATTCCACTTGTGGATGACACACTGACTTCAATAGATTTCTTAACCAAATTGCCTCACACACTGTTGAGGCTACAGCAACATACTCGGCTTCACATGATGACGAAGCAATAATTGATTGCTTCTTTGAAGTCCATGAGAAAGTTGTTGATCCTAGAAAAAACACATAGCCAGTTGTGCTTTTCCTTTCATCTTGGTCACCTCCCCAGTCACTATCTGAATAACCAAATAATTTTGCATCTTCACCAAAATTATAAAACAGACCATAGTTTAGAGTACCTCTTATGTACCTCAAGATTCTCTTGACAGCCAGCCAATGAGACTCCCTTGGTGTTTCCATGTACCGACTCACGAGTCCAACTCCAATGGACCACATATATCCTTGTGTACCATCTACAGTGGTGCCTTTGCTCTCCATGTATCACCAACAGGGAATGATAGTCGTGCTTGCTTGCCAAGCACACAACCTTCACATACTTGGCGTGTGGCTTCAATCTGGGGTAGACCACGAACCATTCCTCCATTTGACAGCAACTTTAGGCCATTGAAATGAAGATGGCCATATCGAAGATGCCATTTCCATGACTCATCTTCCATTACACCAATGTTGCAACTCCCAATCTTTGTGTTCAACTTCAACGGGAACATTCGGTTTTTTGACATTTGAACACGTGCAATAAGCTTTCTCCTTGCATTCCTGAGAATGAGAAACATATCCTCCATATGTATAACATACCCTTTCTGGAGCAGTTGACCAATGCTCAGAATGTTGCTCTTCATACCTGGTATGTAGTAGGTATCGGAGATGTATTCTTCTTTACCATCCTTCTGGATGATTTTGATCTTTCCTTTGCCTTCAACTGGCAACTTTGAGGAGTCACCAAAACTCACAGATCCATAAGGCCCATCTTTGAGTTCGGCAAAAAACTCTTTCTTTCCACACATGTGGTTGCTTGCACCAGAGTCTAAATACCAAACATCTTGTTGGCTACTGATATCATGGTGTGCTAGTAAGACTGTAAGTTCCTCACCAGCATTTCCATTTGATTCTGCCATGTTGACATGCTCACCATTTTTATATGAACATTCATTTGCATAATGTCCATATTGCTTGCAAGTGTGACATTGGATATGCGCCTTTCCTCGGGTAGATCTCCACTCTTAAGATTGACCTCGATTTTGTTCATAGCCTCGACCTCTTCCTCGGGCTCATCCTCGGTTACGGTTGGATGAACTCCCACGACGTGAGTGCCCACAACCTTTATTTGGTTTGTCAATATTCAACTTTGACTCCAAAGCTTGCTCTAGCGTTGTGGGGCTTGCATTCTTCTGAATGCGTTGCTCGTGAACTAGGAGGGATCCTAGTAGCTCCTCTGCGCTCATCGCCTCCAAATCCTTGGATTCCTCCATGGCAGTCACCACATGCTCAAACTTAGATGTGAGTGACCGGAGTATCTTCTCCACAACTCGTACTTCATCGAGTCTCTCCCCATTTCTCCTCATCTGATTTACTATCACAATGAGCCTTGAGTGATAGTCGGAGATGCTCTCCCCTTCATTCATGTGAGCAGTTTCAAAATCTGCTCGAAGTGACTGTAATCTCACTTTCTTGACTCGATCTACTCCTTTGTAGATTGTACTGAGTGTGTCTCATACTTGCTTGCTCGTTGTTGCTTCTGCAACCTTCTCGAACGTTGAATCTTCTAATCCTTGATAGAGAAGATACAACGCCTTCTGGTCCTTCTTTCGTAAATCCCTGAGAGTGTTCCTTTGATCTGCAGTATATGTGGCTTCTTGCTCGGTAGTAGGTACAACATACCCACTACTGACAACTTCCCATAGCTCTTGTGATCCAAACAATGCTTTGAATTGGATGCACCATCTTTCATAATTTTCTTTCTTCAATGTGGGAACTTGGAGTTGCACTAAGTTGGATGCCATAACTGCTGCACCTACCAGAATGGTATTCTGGCTCTGATACCAATTGTTGGTATTGAAAACTTTACTAACTGAATACCAAAATATGTGGGTGATAAGTTTACAAACTCTATCACACCTCTCACTTTACACTCTCAATAAAATTGGACAAAGAAATAGAGAAATGAGGGAAGCTACAAGCTTTGGCAAACAATGCACTTTGATGTATTTAAAAGAGTTTACAAACACACTTCTGAAAATGGAATAACAAATCAGATACATGTTTCTAAAACCTTACGGGCTGCTTATTTATACAAGCAGAAAATGAAGACCACTCAAGTGCTTTTAATAAACTAAACACAACAACACACACAAACAGCTCATATGAACTTTGGACAGTCTAGCACACATATGCAGCTATCTTTCCAGCTTGCAATCAACATAGTTTCGGCTAGCACACCACATGGTAGCACACAGCTGCTGTCTTTCAACACACTTTCAGCTGCCACATGGAGAAAACTTTAGCCTTTGTAGTTGCAGCAAGTGTGAATACAACCTGTAAAGAAACTAACAGCTAGCAGCTGCCATTTACAACCTGTTTTGATTTGAATTTCCAACAGACCTACAACCTTCAAAAACTCAGCTAATTCGTAAAACTTGTTACGTTTCAGATACGCAAATGACATTGCCCGGATTCCCTCTTCCTCTATCAGAAACCTAGACCTTTTTAAGGCGGCCATAAGCAGTCTCCATCTCAGTAAGGGAACCAAAAATACTATAGTATCTGATAAAGGCATTTCCAGTGGCATAGTCCACCGGGAAACCCATTGAAATCATTTCTTTCAATGCACCTTCCATCAATTCAAGCTGGCCTCCCTTCCCAAAACAAGAGATAGCTAGCGAGTAAACCTCCGAAAACAAACTCAAATACCTAGCCCTCATCTGGCCCAAAATTTTATTCACTTTTTCAAAACATCTCGCATTTCCATAAACATCAAATAACTGCGAAACAACCTGAATACTAGGCACAAAAGAAATATATAACATTTCGTTCCACACTGCTTCCGCTTGAGGAAAAAGGCCATTGTTGGCATGGAATAGCATCAAAGCAGATAGGGTGGAGTTGCTGGGCAAAAGACCATCCGATTTCATTTCGAGTAAAAGCTCCTGAGCTACATGAGGCAACTTTTGTCTACTTAAACTCCGAATTATCCGCACGCAATCTACATAAGTAGCTTGGCCATTAAAACACTCATCCCGCTTCCATTTTCAGATTATCGGTTGTAAGCACAGCCCAAATAAAAGGATATCTCTTTGCACAAAAGTGACAGTATTTTCTTCGGATAATCAAACACTAGATCAAGAAATTCATAAAATTCACAAACCTGCTAAAACAAATTACGGGCACTTGTTGAATCAAAATTTGATTAAAAAATACAAGTCCCAATTCTACAAATACGGTAAAATGTTCATGAGAGAGAGAGAGAGAGAGAGAGAGAAAACGACCTTGCGTGCTAAGGCTCGATTTTGTGAATGGGATTGATGGCAGAAAATAGATTGGCGTTTTGGTGCCAATGTGCAACCTTTGATGATTTCAGTTAAAACTAGCAAAGAAGTCCGCGCTCTGCTGCGGGTTTGAAACTGTAACCAAAATTTAACACTCATTTTTAAATTATTTATAAATAAATAAAAGCAACTGAATCCACATGATATTCAAATTTTGAGATGTATCAGATATCAATTGTTGTCTGTGTCTTTGTGCTTCTCAATGTATCAGATATCAATTGTTGTCTGTGTCTTTGTGCTTCTCATTGTAAGTTCTTTTTGCTAATTACTCTGAATTTTTGTAGTTTGAAATTTGCAATGATCAACAAACATGGGAAATGCCTATGTGATTTTCCATGAACTAATGAATGGTTTGCAATTAATTTTACTGATGCATATTCATAATTTGGAATTAGGAATAACAGTTAAACAGGGCCTTGAATTACATCATCAACCAATACTTTCTCCTTTTGCTTTCTGTGAATTTTTTGGTTGCTTGCTGCAAATGAATGGATTTGGAACTTTGAATTAACAAATTAAGCAATTCAAGCATATTGCATACACTTAAAAGGCTTAAGAGTAGATATAAGATTAATTAATATTAAATCAAAATAAATAGATGTAGCTATGTATATTTTCAGCAATTTCAGTCCTTCACTCCCATCATAGGACTTAAATCACATTTAAAAATAAGAAGTACACAAAGAAAGTTGTACTTTTAGCTTCGTTTACAAAAAGCTCTGTATACAACTATGTATTCCACATGAATTTGTGTAAAAGGACTTGCCTCGGGGATGAAGTACTCTGTCTTCTTACACACACCTATGCCAAAATCTCTATCAGGAAACTTTTCCAACCCTGTAGAAGCCAATATATGAAGGAAATCATTCAATGCAATTGTATTAACCTTATTTTAAGGATATGAAAATGAATTTTTGTTCACTAATAATACAATATGTACAACCATTACCCAATTCAAAATTCATTTCAACTCCCAAAATTACACAAAATGTACTAAAATTTCAAGCAAAGAGAACGAACCAAGATTCACAATTCATTTCAATTCCCAAACATGCTCACAGATTAATGAACTCTCACTGAAACAACAAAGAACCAATGAAATTTTGTGTAACTTAAGAGGAAAAATTCTTACCTTCAACTAAGTAGATCCCTAATTGTTCAGTTACTTTTTCGTACGTACTATTATTATAGCTAGATTAGCAGTCATGTTCTCCTAGACCTCGGGTTTACAGAAATCATGGCCACCCACCGTTTGATCTTAATCCAACAGTAGTAAGGCCAAGTACTGATGGCACAGTACATTCTTTCTTCCAAAATTTTTAGCCTGCTAGAGTGACTCGAATAAGAGAAACCCTCCAAGTCTGAGAGTACCACAAAATTAGCATCAGGTTTTTCCAGCTTCCGTTTTAACGTCACTCTGCCACAGAAAGTAGCTAGTGAATGGAGTTGAAGCGCACAAGCAACGTGTACTAGCAGCAAAACAGAAGGCCAACCCTAAACCCTACAATAGGCGGGACTTGCATTGGAAGCAACTGCGGCAGCAAGCCTCAAGAGGCAACAATTTTGGCTGCTGACTAAGCAGTTGAGATGTTTTCTTAGATTAAGCTGCAACCATCCGTAAATGCAGGTTTCAAATCCAACAATGCTCAGTTCATATCTTAGTTGCTGTTTTATTTATGATTTCTTTTGCTTTTCTCTAATTTTTAGTTAACCTAGCTTGTTTCAACAAGATTTAGAACGGTCTTCTATTTGTTTTAATTTGTTTAAATTTTCGTGAAGGCTAGTTACTAGATGGCCACCTCTTTAACATATATATAGTCGTTTGTATATGTATATAGGAAAAATTAGTATCCGGTCCCTAGTTTTTACTGTTCATTGACTAAGACCTTATTAGTTCTCAAATTTTGATTCAAGTCCCTATCATTAATGTGATAATGAATTTACATGTTTATTATATAATTTTTTAATATAAAAATTAGTAATTAATTTAGGATTTAATACTCACACCTCTATTAAACTTCTAATTAATTTTCAATTCAAAAATTTCCAAAATAATAAAAAATTAAATTAAATTAAGTTTGTACCTATTACTTTATATATATATATATAAGATTCTCAATTTTTTAATCTTAAATGTACCCATTCATATAATTTTTCAATTTTTTTAATCTTAAATGTACCCATTCTCAAATATATCAATTTGTTATATGTAAAATGTACCCTTTTTTTAATATAAAATCCATTCAAATTTTTTAATCCATGTTTAAACTTATATGGGTACATTCTTTTTCGTTGATTTTGAGAATGCATCCATGTTTTGGTACAATAACTTTTTTTGTTAATTTTGGTTAATGTACCCATACATATATGTATACACACACACACACAATATAATAGAGAGTATAATTTATATTTTATTATTTTTAATCCCATAAAATATGGGTTTTTATTTAAAATCTCATTAATATAAACAATTACAAACTTCAATTTTTAATTTTTAATTTAAAAAATATAGTAACTTACATTATTACATTAATGTCAGGGACCTCAATCAAAAACTAAAAACTAACAATGTTTCAATCAAATAATATTGATAGCTAAGGACCGTATCCAAAGTGTCCCGTGTATATATATGTACATCTATATATGTGTGTGTGTGTGTGTGTGCACATTGTTACGATTCGCTAACTTTTCTTTTGGAGACAAACAACTCAGACTCGTCTAGATTTTTTGGGGGCAAGTAAATTTTGCTAATTTAGGAATAACAAGTAGATGGAAGTTACAACTACATGCTCCAATGCAACAAAGGAGTATTTGGGGAGGCATAAAGACAAGATGGTTAGGGAATTTGGTTATACTATCGTTCCCTCCACACATTCTTATCTCCCTAGCTCTAGAATATTTAAGAGAGAGAGAGAGGGAGAGAGTTGATGAGAATATAGCACAACTTCAGTGCCAAGGAGAGCGTATGACGGTGGTTCTCCGTCGGGGATTTGTTTCGTTCAGAGCCAGAGACATTTCTACGTACGCATGCAGGTTAGAGTTTGATGAGAGTTGAATTAATTCACAGAATGTGAGAAATGGGTAGAGGTCAAACACAAAGGAAGGCGGGGGAGGTGGTGGCTGTAGCAATAGACAATGACAAGGGCAGCCAACATGCTCTCAAATGGACTATTGATAGTCTTGTCACCAGAGGTCAAGCTCTCACGCTGCTCCATGTCAGGTCGGCCGAGTCCTACTGCAAAAAGGATTGATCTAGATAATAGCGAATGGGCTAATTCTTAGTATGATAAGGAGTCTTATTGGAATAAGGATGTCGGGATTTGAGTAGTGAATGTGGCAGGGCAAAGAGCTTGGTTTAGGGTTCTAGTGGAGGTAGGATTGGCTGAGACTTGGTTAGATTAGGATAAAGAATCCTAATCCGAGTATAGTCTTGGTTCGGTCATGATGAGATTGGCTACTATAAATAAGAAGGGGGTGCATCATTCGAGCTCCTCCAACTCAACACACAATTGCCCTGCTCAAGCTCTCGCTATATGCGAAACCTCTCAACAACCTTGAGATTCTTTTTATTTTTCGTTGACACATCTTCAGTTTAGATAAACAGCATTGTTGCCGTATAATCAACCGACCGGGAAGCACCTTCAATTTGGATAAACAGCATTGCGACGAGGCCGACTGGTTATCTATCCAAGTCTCAGTCGAGAAGGATTTTCGAGTCATTATTGGCAGAGATCATCTCATTAGCCTTCTCGGCGAAGTGAGATGCTATAGGTTACTACATTCGGCACGTTGAAAGCCGAATTTGATATTGAACTTCGTAGAACTAGCAGTCTTATCTTCAGGCTCTAGAACCCGAAGGTTGAGACGTGTTCCTTCCTCGACCGCAATCGCAAGATCAGGAAATCAACAGTGCACTCAACGCAACATCAACTCATTTTACTCACCGGCCGAGCTCGGCCGTCGAGTTAGTATGCCTCGCACACAACTGAATGACGTAATTAGCTTATTAATTACTCGGGCTGCGCGCCACGTAAGCTTGGTAGTTTTTAGGGTTAACAGTTATTCATAACAACACTGGCAAGTGGCACGACAAAACTTTAACTTGCTGTCAAGGTGGTTATATTATAAATCTTTTTGGTTTTTAAAATTAAATATTACATTAAATAATTTAAATATATATTTTGGTTTGTAACCGATCCTTTCATGTTCAGGTCGGTTTTTTTATTTGGAAAACTAACCAAAAACCCCTGAAAAGTTTCCTTTTAATCATAAGGACAAAAGTTTTCAGAAATACCAAGGCTACCCTTCACACATCCGTACAAAATTGGCCAAGCTTTTAGTCAAGTTCACATGCTGGGGCTGACATTTTCAGAAAATATTTGCATACAAAAGCTAAGGTGGCAAACATCACAGCAACCAAGACAACATGAATTCACATGTCTTTCAGACAGCTTTCAGAAACAGTGCTGACAGCTTTCAGAAACAGTGTGTTGTCACTATCCAAAAAGTTGTAAATATTGAAAAGTTATTTTGTTTTGTTTAGGAATCAACTTTTGTATATAAGGGAGCCTTTCCTCCCATACAGAGGACACCTCTCTCAACACCTGAAAACAACATATTCACTTCATACACTCAAGCATTCATAGCCTTCATAGCATCCTTGTAAACACTTCTTTGTAATCACTTTCTTGTAAACAACG